GGACTGGTCAAGCTCGTTCGTGAGGCAGGCCGACATGTCGACTGAGTCCAACTCCAACTTTCCCAGTTGACCCGAAGCCCTAACCGGCTGAGGTGCGTTAGCACCATATCCCTGTGTTTGTATAACTGATGTCGCGACTGGCCCAGTATGAGCCAGTCGTCGATATAGTTGAGGATGCGAATGGCGGCCTCCGCTATATTTGTAAGGACGCAGGATGACAAGGACAGGCCAAAGGGGAGGACCTTGCACTGTTATGCCCATCCCTCAAATGCGAAGCGTAGAAACGGTCTGTGTCGAGGTAGGATCGAGACATGAAAGAAAGTGTCATTTAGGCCGACCACTACAAAACAATCTTGGCTGCGAATGTACATAAGAATCCGTTTCTGCATCAGCATCTTGAATGGGAGCTTGTGAAGGGCCCAGTTCAAAACGCGCAGGTCTAAGATAGGTCGTAACTCAACGCCTTTCTTGGGCACGATGAAGTATGAACTGTAAAACCCTGACTTCATGTCAGCTTTTGAAATTGTCGATTTCCACACGCAGGACAGGAGCATCCTTGTCTGCCACTGAGGAAAACCGGACGCTGCTGAACCTGCGGGGGACGCAGTGCGAACTGAATCGCATTGCCTAGTCTGATCGTCCGAACGACCCACAAAAAGGTTATTTAGTGGAGAAAGGTTCTTTAGATTATTAAAATGTTCTTCAAACTAAGAGACAAATATGTTAAGAACTGTTTACTGAAAGGTTCTTAGGGGAACTCATAATGGTTCTTCTATGGCATCACGGAGAAAATCTCCTTTTGGAAACTTTATTTTTAAGAGTTTAAGCTAGAGCAGTGGGTCCTGGTACTGGTCCCCCAACACTGCAATTTTTTTGATGTCCCTCTTATCTGACACACATATTTGAGAGCTGCCTCCAAGATCGCATTCCTACTATTTAGTAGGCGAAAAGCAAAAGTATGTGAAAAAATAAGTATGTCCGAATATCCAGTAGGGGGAGAGAGTGATTTGATACTATGGGGAAGTTGAGCCACCCCTTGTTTCTAGGTAACCATAAGCAAAGTTGGTCACAAAAAAAAGTCATCCATTTTACTCACCCTGTGATGGAGAGAGGACCATGGAATAATTGGTAAGTACGTTTAAGTAATTTTTTTTTAAATAATAATAATTTAATATTATTTATTAATAGGCCTTGTGCAGATCGGTGTGACATCAAGTACCACAATTCTTTATTAAGAGCTTTATTTAGGGTAATTACGACATGGCGTGAACGCAGCATTAGTCCAGTGGAGCCTAACCCAGTGTCTTGAGCCACAGACGGGGAAACACTCTGGATGGATGGCCAGTCCATCACAAGGCTCACACACAGATTTCAATAAGTCATTTGTTATTGATTTTCTCTTGCTTTGATATAGCATGAGCTGAAAAGGTCAGGTTTTTAATTCAGCATAATAAATGGCACAATTTTTACCTAGGGGGCAAGTTGAACCACTTTTATTTTGGAAGTCATTTTTTGAAAGCAGTTTTTTTTTTTTTTTATCCAAAGTGATTATTCCTAAAGATGCACAACATCCTGAAATGTATGTACATATTTTAGTTGGACACTTTACTGTCATGCACTCACCTAAAGACACCACAAGTTAAAACTGTCTCAACTCACCCCGCTCTCCCCTAGATGACATACTACTTCCCGCGAGATTATGAAGTTACTATCCTATTAGGACACAGATGATTTATGAATGGCTGTAAAGCGATGCAAATGATGCTAGTAGGTCACGATAATGCAACATGGCGAAAGTAGTACGTCAAGATTACATTCATACACATTCTTTAAAGGACATACTTTTTTAGCGGTTGTGAAGTAATTACTTATTCAAAGAAAATACCTACTCAAGAAAGTATGTGATTGGACTCTTCACTAACAAGCTGATGAGTTAAATCAGGTGTGTTTGATTGGGAAGACATCTAAAATGTGCAGTGCTGGGGGTACTCCAGGACCAGGATTGGGGACTACCAAAGTTTCTTTAGAGGGTTCAGCCCTGGGATGGGCAATGTTGGTCCTGGAGTGCTTATGTCCTACAGAGCTTAGCTCCAACCCCGATAAAATAAAACAAAACTCACCTGCCTGTGGTCTTAGTAATCCTGAAGACATCAATTAGCTTGTTCAGGTGTGTTTGATTAGGGTTGGAGCAAAACTCTGCAGGACCGACGCTGCCCATCCCTGGTTCAGCCAGATCTTTTGTTCTTGGACTAATGGTTCATTACACTAACTCAGGCCTTGTCCACACGGACACTGGTATTTTTATAACCGGAGTTTTTCCTACAGCGTTTTAAAAAAAAATCCCGTCCACACATGCTCGGTCTCCGTCTACATGAAAACGCAAAAACACGTATCAAGCGCGGTCAAGAGCATGCCACGCCAGCAGGCGGTGATATAAACCTTAACCGTAAAGCCACGTTGGCCAATCAGAAGCGCAAATCTGACGTCAAACACAGCGGATAACGGCGCACACTCTGACGTCGCAAGGCAAAAACCCCGGTTTCACCGTCTACACGACAACACTGTAACCGGCGTTTCTGAAAATCCTCACCCTGGCAGGGGTTTTCAAAAATGTTCGGTTTCAGTGCGTTTTCGTGTGAAAGGCCGAACCGCGTAAAAAAAAAGTCACGGTTATAAAAATACCCGTGTCCGTGTGGACAGGGCCTCAGACTGAGTGTTTTTAGTTTACAAGGCCTGATTCTACATAAACACCGCAATATAAGGCAGGCTGCTGACCCCCAGTATTAAATCCTGTTTGATTTCAACTGCTTTAATTTTCTGAGATCATGTTCATGCTTACCTGACACAGCATCTGGAAAAGATCCTCACCTTAAATCACCTTATCTGAGAAAAAAATTGAGGAAAATTTTGTCCCGCATGTTCTATGACTTTAAGGTTTTGTCCTCCTCAGCCCAGATATGTAGCCTACAACAGTTTATACGCCATGGAAATTTTAGCAACTTCAAAATTTCTGTGTTCTTGAAAATGTAGCTCCGACAACTGCTGTGAAACCTTCTTTCCTCCTCGAGTCTCGGATGTTTACATGTACCTGCAGAGCAGAGGTGTCAGATGCTCTTCAGGCACAAGCACCAATGACCTGATTCTGTTTGCAAACCAAATCCACATGGAGAATAGTGGCAATCCTTGTTTCTGTGCCTCATATTTGAGAGAACCTGAGCTGTGTTTTAAATTGCCCCCTATACCCTCATTCACTATTCCCTACATTACTTCAGTAATACAGTCCACTTGAAGGAGTGAATGAAAAGGATGGAGTGAATTCAGACACTGAGAGCGCCAGAAGGGCTGCCACTTTTGCAGTTTGTGCTTGCTGTTTAATAATCCTTTGAAACTTACCAAACTGGCTGCTCCAGTAGCAATGAAAAGATTTATCTTGAACTCTGTAATGGAAACTAGAATGTATAAACCTTAATAAACAATTTAATAATCAAATGGATGGATGGATGATTCGGCGGCGGAATGCATCTTCTGGTGTGATGCGTGAATTAATTCGGTGTGACCCTCACAGTGCATTTTGGGTATTTACTTGCCGTGGAGCGTACATCGGTTGCTCACTTGTTATTGGTGCATTATGGGTTTAAATGAGTGCACTCGATAATGTCCACCACACTGTTAAAAAGTTGCTGCCTTCAATTTTTAAATACAATCAACTTGGATGTTTTAGATATTTCAACTTTACTTCATTACATTTAAACTGACTTAAATTAGTTGAATTTTGAATAACATAAAAAAGTTGAAAATTGCTTAACTTATTTTGATGAGTTAAAGCAATGTAAAAACATATGTTGTCATAACTTATTGATCATATCATTTTTTACAGGACATTGTTTCAGACACCACTACAAATTGCTGTCCCCTCAAATAGTGCCCTTATTTAAGGGTATAGGGGGCGATTTTAGACACAGCTGTGGTGTTGCCTAGCAACCAGCTTAGAGGGAGAAGGAGTGCTGGGATATGAAAGCTTTTGAGAGGATGGTGAAAATGGCAAGTCAAGCATGGTTTACCATTTATAAAAAGGAATAAAGAAAGGTGTTACCATGTAACCTTGCCTAATACATTTCCACATTTTAATTATTAATTTATTTAAGAATAAAGACTTGGAAAATACCTTCTGTATGATTTGATTTTTCAAATAGTTTTTCTATTTAATTATTTATTATTAAATTAAACTCAATGTCAATTTGACCAGTCATTATAATGAGGGTACAAATATAGACCAAGTATAAAATTAAAAAAACGTAATATTAAAAAAAAATATTTGTAATTTCCCTTGAAACATTTAAAAACGTACATATGTGTTTTTCATAACAACATTAAATCAATGAATTAATTCAAGTACTTTTAATTTAAAAAAGGTGTTTTTTTTTCCTTTTATAATGGGAATCTATCCTTAATGACATCATCTTTGGTTTTCTATGATCAGTCAGAAAACAATTAAGACTATTGCGTCCTCTAGTGGACACACGTGAAGCTACAATCATCCCTAACTCCAATACACTTGGAATGTTATTTGTCAATTCAGATCTTTGACCTATTCTTCTAGACCTACTTTTTGATTAACATCCTTCATGATTATCAATTTCCAAATTTGTCAAAGATACAAACATTAAAACGATCAACAAGATGAAACTCTTTACACTTCAAAGTGTCAGATAGGACATGTCCATGTGTTATATCGCACAGAACTGATGAATAAATCTTTCAAATAAATCTCACCATTAAAGCCAAGTAGATACCTTTGACCCAAAGGATTTCAACATCTTAGGAGTAAACGGTGCAGAAAATCTACAACAGGACAACTTCCGAGCATGTTTTTAGACAAGACTCTTATTACTAAGGCTTTAAAGAATGAGGAAGATGAAAACCTGTATCAACGAGCACATTCTTTGCAGTGACATCAGATAGGCAGAATTCATACTCCTAACAGCTTTACTTTCAAACAATGGGTGCTTTAAATTATTTTATTGACAAAAAAACTGATATACATCTAAAATACATGTAATAATATATTTCAAAATACAACATTTTAAATATGCAGTGGTCTAACATTAGAGTATCTGAAATAAAGGCAAGCATACTGCAATAGAAATGTAATCGTGTGTAATACGGTAATTCTATGTCAAGTGTTTTACAGTGATTTCTCAGGATTTCGGAGTTTTGACATCCTAACCTTTAGTTTGGACTTCAGCAGGTCAAATCACCCTTCACAAGTCAACCTTTGAGAAGTTTACATCATTGGACAATCACCCTACGGATGCGACTTCGCTGACTAGGACTGTTTTTCTTGATCCAGGAGAGCTGATCTGATTCCCAGCTTCTGAAGTTCCTCTACCAGGTCGCCGCTCTGATGCATCTGAAGGAGGATATCACAGCCCCCGACGAACTCCCCGTTGAAGTACACCTGTGGAATCGTCGGCCAGTTGGAGAACGTCTTTATTCCTTTCAGGTGGAACAAAGTTGCATGTCAGTAAACAGACATTTTTTTTAGTCCTTAACTCTTACATGCACAACTCTGGAAATTATTTTACGTGACCTGGATTTCCTTGTTCTCTTTTTAATTCCACTTGAGCATTTCAGGCTAGGCTTTACTGTTTGCAGACTGATCTCATGAAATGGCGTATGTATGACACGCCAATTCGTATTTCCATTTTTGGCGTGCTATCAACACGCATAATCGCTTTTCAGCGTGTTTATCAACGCCTTTGACTTAACGTTATATTACTGTATTATGTATATATAAATATATGACCTACCCCAACCCCGTCCCTAAACCTACCCGTCACTGGGGTTAATACCATTTATGAGTCTTCTCCTACCATCCTAGGAAAAGAAATATCGCTCCCCAGATGTAGATATAGATTTTGCTTCGTTTCGCTCGGACATTTAACGGCGTACACATACACGCGGAATCACTCGGACGTTTAACGGCGTACACATACACGCAAAAGATTTCCGCGTGGACATACACGCGGATAGCTCAAAATGCGTATAGATAACACGCCACTTGAATTGAAAGTGGCGTGTATGTTTACGCAAAGTCATGATGTCATGTTGCTGTTTGGAAACTAACCTCAGGGGTCTAAGGGTTAACACCCCTTTCTTCCTGCTGCGCAAAACTGATAAAGGCAATCAGAGCTGACCGGGTGACTGCTGGCGCCGTTAACCTACTAGTGCTGGATTGATCAGACTCACCACCTCTAAAGCCAAGCTTCAGACCCAAACTAAAGTGCATTGTATGGAAGCTCATTTCTGCCAAAGTGGGGTGTAAAAAAATGAAAACTTTCTCATAATAATGACTTAGTTTCTCATTATTTCAAGATGCAGAGTCATTATAATGAGAATGTTTCTGATTATTATGAGATGTTTTCTCATATTATGAAAACGTTTCTCATTAATAAGTTAGTTACTATTACCGTGAGATGTCATGTCATTATTACAAGGACACATCACGTAATAATGAGAAACTTTCTTAATAATGAGATTTTTTCATAATACAATTCTCATTAATATCTCGTAATAATAAATCAAAATAAAAATGAAAAATTCTCTCATAATAATGAGAAACTTTTTAGTAATACTGAGAAACATTCATGTAGTAATGTCTTGGTTTCTCAAAAAAATAAGAAACTTTCTCATAATAATGACTTAGGCCTAACATCTCGTAATAATGAGAATCGAAGTCATTATTATGAGAACATTTCTGATTATTATTATGATGTTTTAAGGAAACATCACATAATAATGTAAAACTTTCTTAATAATGAGTTTTTATAATAAAGTTTCTCAATAATATCCCATAATAATGGATCAACATAATAAGATAAATTCTCATAATAATGACTTAATATCTCACGATGAGAACAATTTTAATAGTACTAATGATTTTATGTAGTAATTCCTTTTGTTTATGTAACCTTTAATGTAGTAATGCCTTTCTCGTAATAAAGACTTTGCTTCTCATTAATATCTTGTAATAATTACTCACCATCTCATAATAATGAAACACTTTTTCATAATAATTGCTTGACATCTCATAATAATGAGAAACTAAGTCATTATTATTTTTAACTATTTTATAATTAGTTAGTTTCTTATTATCAGGAGAAGTCAAGTCATTATCACAAGGAAACATCACATAATTATGAGACATTTTTTTTTCTCATTATAAAAAACGTTTCTCATTAATATATTCTCATATGAATGGATCAACATAATGAAATACTTTCACATAATAATGACTCAATATATCATAATAATGAGAAACCTTAATAATTATAAACTTTCACTTAGTACTGCCTTGGTTTCTAATAAAATGAGAAACTTTCTCATAATAATGACTTAGTTTATCATGCATATTTCGTAATAATTAGTAACATCACATAATAATGAGAAACTGACTAATGACTCATCTCATAATAATGGAAGTTGTTATTAATAATAATAATGTGAAACTTTCATATAATAATCTCATAATAATGTGTCATTCTTTTGAGATAGTAAGTCATTATTAGATTTTCCCCAAAAAGTATTACTACATACGCATAATCATAAGAAAGTTTCTCATTATTATGAGATACTAAGCCACAATTATAAGACCTTTTCTTGATTTTATGATTAATAATTGGCAATTTAAAATAGAATTTTCCAAAAAGGTGTCACTAACTTTTTTTAGTATGTCACACGTTTAAGAAGAACCAGAAACCGTCGTCCAAGCCTAAGGTTATATCAAATTGTATAGGGTTTTAAACTCCTCAAACAACAATGACCAGCCACTGACCTTCTCTGATATCCTGATCATCCAGCACGTTATAAGCCGCGTAGCTGTCGACCCCGTGCATTCTGAGGATCTGAACGACTGCGTTGCTGAAGCCGCACATGGGCTGCCCAGGAGTGCCTTTCATGAAGACCACCACCTTGTCCTTCTTCACCATCTCCTCCATGTTCTTCTTGCCCGCCGAGGAGCACATGAGGCGGGCCCAACCAGACAGCATCTCTCCATTATTCTGCGCTGTTCTGTAATGCCACGCGCCCGGTCGAAGACACCGGGCTGTCGATCTGAGAATGTTGTTCATTGTACAAGTCTGAAGGGTTTGGTGAATATTTTAAGTGGTTTGTGTGTGTGTGTCACGTCCTTTAACTGACGCCACAGTGACAGAACTTCGCCGAAGAAACTTACTGAACGTAAGCTCCGCCTCTTCGAGAATAAACACTCAATGGAGGAAAGCTATTGGTTCTCGTCTTTTTCCTGTCCTCTGTGATTGGTTGAATACTACGTCAGTCATGAAGGTTACACAAGTTGCTTTTTATCTCTTGACAGCTTCTATTTTAGCGAAGTAAAATATGTATCTCATATTACACGTACATTCACTGTAATTTAAAAACGCCTATTTTTTTATTTATTTGTATTTTTTTGTAAGTAGTAATTAGTGGAGGCATTTACATCCGGTTAGAATAACACTGACCTTTTTTCTTCCGGTACGTACATGCTCCAACTCATTTCTGCGAATCGGTTCTTTGAAACCCTTTTAAAGATTCATTTAAAAAAAAGATTCAGTGATTCCTCTATATTGCCGGAATTTCAGTTCATTAGCAGTGATTCCGCTCATAAAACGCACAGCCATTTAAAAATACTATATAATCTAGTTATAATTTTATCATAATTTTATAACAAGTAAAAACAGTGATCACTCGACATTGCTCGAACGGATAAAGAATCGTTCGTTTGTTTGTTTTTTAAACGATTCAACCGATTAAGCGCAAACAATGAGCCGAATGATTCAGTCACGGGTCTGTATTTAAGTGCATCTTGCTATAGTTAGTTCGTGTTCGGGTTGATGAAATGAAGTCTGCGGTTGTTGCAAACCGCGTGGATTTTCTTACAGTTTTTGTAAGTAAGATTTAAGCTACATTTGTCCTCAAAAAGAAGTGCAGTCTCACGATCCTGTCTCCGCCTGCAGTGGCTGGAGACTCGACGAGGCTGCATAGATTAAAATGAAGGAACAAAAGGCGTGACTTCTCTAGACTTTGAAGTTTTACGTGCGATATTCTTTCAACAAATCTCGTCCTGTTTCCACAGCGGTAATGGTTTGTTTTATACCGTTACCAGTCTCAAAACAGGCAGAGTAATACAGCGGCGGCAGTCAGATATTGTCTGGCAGGAGATCTGCGCGCCTTTCAGACACTTCGAATTGCCACAGTGAAACGTTATGTTGTGAATGGAGGAAAAACCTTACATTGACTAATTCTGACTGTTTTCTATATCCGTAGGTTCGCCCGGATTCCATCATTGATCTCCATAATCTCAGTAAAGTGTAAAGGTTTGTTTTATTGACTTTTTTTTCGTTCAATAAAATGTGATTTCATGCTCACAAAAAAAAAAAAAAAAAAAATCCCAGATTTGTATGTTTTTTTTTCTACCATAAGTCAAATTTAGCCTAAATTTATTTAATCTAAATTTAGCCATTCAGCAAAATTGTTTGTAGCTTGGTTAGACTCTGAACATTGTAATTTACATTCATGCATGGGTAACATTAGTTCATGAAGGTGTATTTTTTTATGTCTGAGGCCTGGCTTCCTTGGGTTATAAAATGAGCCACTATCTACTCTCTGCCCTGCAGGACCTACACCAAACTCAGCCAGTCTGTAGGAACAAACTAATTACACTTTTTTATTTTTATATGTTGACGTTGACAGCAGCGCGGATTGATAGAAATGGATAGAAAATAGTGCCGATTAAAACTGAGGTATGAATTTTGACCGGCGTGTTTTTTGTGTGGTAAATTAATCAAGCTTTGAAACGCAAATAATTTCTTCACGTAAAAACGCACAGTTTTGTGGCCCCGGAAAATAACCGGGAGTACTTCATTGAAAAACTTCCAGCGGCCAGAACTCTGACCAGGGAGGTGACAACAGAGTGGGTCAGTGTGTATGCACTATAGTGCTGGTAAGGATTGCATACAACTTCATGTCTTAAATGGGCGAACTAACCCTTTAATAACTTGCACACTGAGTCCGAAATTTTCATATGCGTTTTTCCGTATTCGTGATTCAGTGGCTCCAAAGCGTCAAAACACCATTCAAACTGCTTGATACGGATGCGAAAAACGCAGAAAATCGAACCTGATCCAATTTTGTTTTTTATGATGGGCAAAAGTTTCGGAGGCAGTGTGCAAGCGTGATTGACATAACGTGATGTCGTATTTATTTTTTAACGTTTATTTTTATTGTATTTATTAATTTTGGACGTGAATTTCGGACTCAGTGTGCAAGGGCTTTAAGACTGATTCTTAAAGGGATACTCCACCCAAAAATGAAAAATCTGTCATTTACCCTCAAGTTGTTGCAAACCTGTATGAGTTTCTTTCTTCTGCTGAACACAAAGGAAGATATTTTGAAGAACGATTGGAACTTTGGCACCATTGACTTCCATAGTATTTTTTTTTCCTACTATGGAAGTCGATGGTGCCAAACAACTGTTTGGTTCCAATCTTTCTTCAAAATATCTTCCTTTGTATTCAGCGAAAGAAACTCATACAGGTTTGCAACAACTTGAGGGTAAATGATGACAGAATTTTCATTTTTGGGTGGAGTATCCCTTTAAGTGCTGAATGAAGTGGCACTTGAGTGTTGTGAACTAAGGACTACAATGATGTCAACCTAAAATGGCTGCACTTGGCCAATAAATTATCCAATAGCGAGCCTTTAAGGGTGAAGTCACAGCAGCATGGCACCAATTATTAATGTATTTATAATAAAATCACTTAAGACACTGACAATTTTATTTGAATTCTTACATTTATTTTAAAAGTCTAATAAATGAAAACATTTTAAAGTGTTGATGCTGTGGAATCCTTTTCTATTGATGCATGTTTCCTCAGTTGGAGTAATGATGCAAACATGAGTCCATCAATGGCTCCAACAACTGCAGGGAAGCTTGCAATCCTCATAAAAGGGGCTTGTTTTTGCCGCATGGTTTGATCCGTTAGAAAGTCAATGAACTGCTATACAGTAGTGGCCAAAAGTGTTGAGCAGCCTAGGAAAATTGAAATATTCACCCTTTATCCAAATATTATACAAAATGTATTAAAGATTTTGTAAGCATATTGCGTAGTTGTTGTTGTCAATTGTTTAATTTGTGATGACGCAATGAATCATGACGCAATGAATAAAGCAAACAACACATGCAAAAACAGAAGAGAACCAGTGAAATATTAATTAATAAACTGATTATGTTGTCAATGTATCCTTTATCCTGGAGCTATGAGTTTTTCTATAACCTGTGGCTGTATTTTGCCTTTTTTTTTGTTGCCAAATAATTTTGTCAGATAAAAACCTCCACTAAGTTTAGTTTTTGTTCTTCCTTCATAGTTTGAAATATACAAAATAAAATATTTTCCTCATATTTTGATGCGGTCTAAGGGAACTTGTAAGGTCATTAAAAACAGAAAACAAGAATAACCTTTTCTTCACTTTCATCACTTCTGGCCACTACTATGTTTGGTGTGGTTATTTCAGATAATTCAGATAATGCACTACTGCATCTTTCCAGTTGCCAAAATATGTCATTACTTTCATTATTGCAGTCAAAGTTGTAGAGTGGGAGAAGTTATTACATTTCTTACAAGGTCAGTTATACAAAAAGAATACCTCTACGATCAACACTGTATCGTTTATTTAACTCCCTGTCATCATATCATAATATACATAAACATAACTCCAATACGTTATATCTTTGATGGAAAGTGTGTGGTCTCCTCCTCTCTGCTGCCATATTGTTACTCTTAACTAGGTTAGGATACCTCTCCAGCACTCTTAAATAATGTAGGAGCTGAGACCTAGTCTTAACACTTTGGAACCTTTATGAATCAAACTTATTCTTAAGTCTAGGAATAAGAGTAAAATTACATCTTAGAATTTTGACACACTTAAGGCAACAATTTTACTCGGCTTTAGCGGCTTTATACATACGGCCCCAGATATTTAAACTATTTCAATAGTGCTTATAATGTAAAACCTAACAAATGTCTTTCTGTGAAGTGTATCATGGTGGTATATTTCTTTAAAATAAATGGCACTAGTAATGTTTTGGTATGTCATGTTTTGGTACATTCAGGCACATTTAATCGTATGAATACATTGACCCACTACCCAATTTATAAGGCAACAAAAACACACTGTCATTGACTTTTAGCAGTTTTTTTTTTTGCGCAGACGACAACATTATCAAAGCGATCCTGTTCACATGGATCCGCGGAAAAAAAAACCCTAAAAACGCTGTATTATTCACGCCAGGCCAGTAGTTGGCGATGTCACTTTGTAATGAAAGCTTGTAGACTGAACATGTAATACGCATGCGCATGACGTCACCGTTTTCACAAATTAGCATTTTTGTAGTTTACATGGGGACGAGTACATTATAGTTTTCAAAAACTTGCTCTTTGAAACCCGTTTTCAAAAGTTTGCATTTCCAGATCCCCAAAACGCGTAAACAAACAGCCAAAACGCATAACAACTTTTCAGTTTTTAGTTGAAAATGGCCCTTTAGTGTTCAAATATCCTATGATTTTACAAAAAAGAAAATAAACTTGAACCCCCAAATGATAGTTATACTATGAACAAACCATTCATTCAAGTATCCACATGTTTTTATTTGTTAAAAGTGAATAGGTGAAATGTCAACACATAACATGACTATGAATGAGTATTAAATATTGGCTTGAGGCAGTAAAGGATTTGCAGGAGCTGTCACAGGTGTATGGAGGAGACGGGCGTGTACTGGCAGGATTTGACGCTCAAAAACACTCTTCTCAAACCCGACGACTCGATTTCCTCAAATGTTCTCCTGTAGCGTCACTGCAGCTATGCTTGGAGCATATTCCTGACTTTGAGAAGTTTTCGTGGTCCCGTTCAGGATGTCCTTAACATCGAGTAAGAGAGATGGACGTGTAAAAGACAAGAAGTGCGCGAAAAGAGCCCAAGGTAAAATAATCCATAACGGTGTATACATAATTCACAGGTACAGTTCTTATAATGAATTTTGGGTGGATATTTGTATGATTACGCAATGTTTTAAATGGCAAGTTTGCTCCATTGTATCATAATGTATATTACATTTTCCAGTTCTGGCACAGGTTTAAAAACTTTTTTTGAATTTGTTCTTATTTTATATTATATTATAAACACAATTTGACCGAAATGGAAATGGACATAGAACAACATTCTAAAAAAACAAGTCTGAAAATAAAATGGAATTTTTTTTAAGGCAAACTTCCTCGTTTCATTTCACCCAGTGCATGTCTCTTAAATGAAAGCGAACCTGCTTATACCTGTTCTCACCCGCTCTAAACCTGTTACAGTGTTCTGAAATGACAAGCATGCACACAAGCTGACTCAAAAAGTTGTGCCCGTGCTCTGAGAAAAAGCCTGAGTTTGATTGCTTTGTTCACAGAGGAGAAGCAGGCAGTCCAACAGAGAACTTTTACCAAGTGGATAAACATGCATTTGAAGAGAGTGAGAATTGTCTTATTTCTACTTGCAAGGCCAATCAACATATTCAGTTTTTTACATGCAACAAGGCCAATCAACATATGATTTTAAAAATGATACCTTTGTTTACATAATATTTTCCATGAGTAGACCTATTACTACAACAGAAGCATTGAATGTGTTGTTTTTGTAAAAATGTCAGTTTATTAATAATGAGAAATTAACATATACATTTAAAAGTAGTCATTAACTGTCATGTCTTCTTCATTTAAGTTTCCTTCTGTGTTGTAGTGTGACCCACCTTTACAGGTTAATAACTTATTCACTGATGTGCAAGATGGAAAGGTTCTCATGGCTCTTCTAGAGGAACTGTCAGGCTGTAATATGGTTTGTCATCACATATTTTACTGAAAAGATACAAAGTTTGATCACTATAAATCTGTCATACATGAATGTGGCTTTCCTAAACACATACGAAGTGTTTTTCATGTGCTTTAGCTTGATAGATTCAGGCCATTCCCGCATCACATCTTCAGACTAAACAATATTGCGAAGGTCTTGAATTTCCTCGAGGACAGAAATGTAAGTCCTAATTTATTTATTTTTCCCCATGTCTTAGTGTGAATCCCTGTACATCACATACATGGTGGGTGGGAAATATATCATGGCCAATAATGAACTCCCTCATTTTAGTTAAATGGATAGTTCACTCAAAAATGTTGTCATAATTTAGCTACTCACCTTCAAGTTGAGTATGCCATTGAATTCCATAGTAGAAGAAAAAATAATAATATGGAAGTCAATGGGGCCCATCAACTGTCTGGTTAGTACCAACATTCTTTAAAATATCATCTTTTGTGTTAAAAAAAAATGTAGGAATATAATTAGTACTTGACAACGGTTTAACTACAATGAGGGAACTAATTTATAAAACACAGCCATCAATATATATTTACCCTTCCATATGTCACGTTCAAATGTAATCATTTATATTATTTCCACACAGGTGAGTCTTATAAATATTGACGCTAATGATATTGCTGATGGCAATCCTTCAGTTGTTCTCAGGCTAATCTGGAACATCATTGTATACTATCAGGTAAAGCACACTAACATTGTGTAACGGTACTGAAAGAGTTCCATTGTTCTTGTGAGTGAGTGTTTGATCGACTGATTTATTGTGGCTGAATTATTTGACCATTCGAAGATTAAACAGGTTACAGGACACCTAGAGAAATTCCCTTCCACCTTCAGTCTGCTGTCATTACCTTGTGGCAGTGATTCTTCAGGTCGTAGTTCCCCAGTATCACCTGGAGATGACATATTCGGCACTCCACCCTCAAAAGGCAAAAGGTCCTTGCAAAATCTCAAGTACCGCGGTACAGCCATAAAGACTCTGCTTAGCTGGGTGCAAAACTGCACAGCAAAGTAAGTCAATTAATTTACTCAGCCACAATAAAGACAAATGTGTTTCTTGATATGCAAATTGGTATATTGTATCATGTAGTTCCAAACCTTTTTTCTTCTGTGGAACACAAAAGGAGACCGTTTGAAGAATGCACTGATCGCTCTTTTCCTTGAAATTGAAACGGAAACTGACGCTTTCAAGCTTCAAAAAGATGCAAAACGCTACAAAAGCATCGTTTTGTTCGCTATATTCCTTTCAAAGCCATGCTTCAAATCTCCTTCTCCAGTGAGCTGTCACTGAGGACCATGTTGAACTTCGTAAACAAATCATTCAGAGTGGTTTTGTGAAGCAGTTTAAACGATTGATTGAAAACACATAACTCAAAAGAACAATTTGTTCCAAATAAAGCATCGCTACTTCTTTCATGAACTCTTATGAACACACCAAGTTGGGTGTCAAGGCTGGATCTTAAGATGCTCAGTAAATATAACTTGAATTGTAGTCTGTCGCTCACTCGATACTACAAGATGACTTTTTATGGAGTATGGACCACTTTCATGGTGTTTTTGCATCTATTTTGTCCACATCAAGTATAATTGCATGAAAAAAGAACATTAACTTACACAGAAGAAAGACAGCTTTGGAACAACATGCTGCTAATGATTCGATTTTTTTTAATCGATGCTTTTAATTAATTGGATGGACTTCCATGATTTATTCAATCTTAGAAAATGCTGTTTCAACCTTTTCCTTCAGATATGGGGTAGAAATTCATGATTTCGGTAACAGCTGGAGGAGCGGAATGGCTTTTTTGGCACTGGTTAAATTCTTCTGTCCTGAATTTGTGGACATGAGGAAAGCTTTGTCCTCTGAGCCCCGCCTAAACATGGAGACAGCCTTCACAGCAGCATATGAGTGGCTGGGGATTCCTCCACTGCTGGATCCGGATGGTAACACACACACACACACACTCATACTCATGTTGGCTTTTCATGTTTTATGGACATTCTACAGACATAATGATTTTTATACTGTACAAACTGTGTAGTCTCTCCCCTTACACTAACACTACCCCTAAACCTACTCATCACATAAAACTTTCCACAATAATAATAAAAAAAAAACATCAAAAACATCTTTGTATGATTTATAATCTATTTTACTCATGGCGACCAAAAAATGTCCCCACAAGGACAAGGATTTAAGATATTCCCATCTTTGTGGGGACATATTGCCATTTTGTCTCCATAACGTAGGGTATTCCAGGCCCACACACACTATCCGCTTCCTTTTACTTGAAGAATAACTGCGTATTGTTTGTGCCTTCTAGGGGAACATGCTCAATTGCTGCATGACCTGCTTTCGCTTTTCAGAAATAAATATGTTGTAAAAACACATGAGCAGACCCAGAATTTTACTGCAGAGCTATAGTAAATATTGCCTGTGAATATAGTATAGCAAAGTGTTGTATTGTTTCTTAGTTTTGTGACTGGGTAGCAAATAAGCAGAATTTATTTTTGAGTGGGCTTCATCTAGCAGGACCGCTAGCAGGTGTGTTTGGTTATTTGACCTGACTTTTTTTTTTTTTTTTTTTTACTAGATGTTGCAGTGTATTCACCAGATGAGCAGTCCGTCATCACCTATGTAGCCCAGTTTCTTGAATGTTGGCCAGGCCATGGTGAGGTGAGGATATGTTTATCTTTCATATGAATGATTGCGTAATAAGGCCGGTCATATAAAGTCACAGGTAAAGCTAACTAAGACTTGCTTATCTGGAATGGTAACATTATTGCAGAATTTCTCACCAAGCAGATGTTACGTGATCAACTCTGCACATTCTTGTGACCAATGTGAACCCATTGCGTATTTGTGTGGGGAAATTTCGCCCTCACGTTAAATTGGCAATCATGTGGAGTCCTATTGAAATGACTGGATTTTGCCCTCGACAATTCGCCGAAAAATGATAAATGTGCTGCCACGAGTATCAAACTTGAAGGTGGTAATGAGATAGTTTCACCCCCACAGAATGAAGCTGAAGAGGAAGTCCCGGACTGTTTCAAAGACATGTATATACATTTTTTTATTTTATTTTTTATTCTCAATCATGTGAATTCCTATTGAAATGATTGAATTGTGCCCTTGAAAATTAATAGCACATGCGATATAAATAATGCATAATATAATAATATGATGCATCCATGTATAATTCAACTCCAAAATGTCGGAAATACTGTCTATTAATGGATCCTACTGGCATTTCAGAGGCCAGGTAGTGGTTTTTTGTTTAGTTTTTGGGGGGTTTAAGCCCTGAATGAATTTGATTTCCATCTTGTAAGAAATAGTTACAAATGGAAGAAATATATTTATAATTATGCGAAAAATACACTTGTGAGATATAAAGCCTCGGTTATGTCACAATTCCTCAAAAAGTGGAAATTGCCTTTTTATATATACTTTTTTAAAGGCGTTTCACCGCACTCACGATAAACAAGGTGCCAGACAGACACAACTAAACAACTCAGAAAATAAATAAACTGTCTGCACACTTGAATCCTTTAAAGCAATTTTAATCGCCAAGCTTTCGGTCACAAGACCATCCTCAGGGTCCTGCCCTGAGGATGGTCTTGTGACCGAAAGCTTGGCGATTAAAATTGCTTTAAAGGATTCAAGTGTGCAGACAGTTTATTTATTTTCTGAGTTATATATACTTTTTGTACCATAAGGTGGAAAACACATACAAAATTAAGCTAATGTGCCTCCATGGAACATATTATTTTAATATTGTGATGTTTATTCTCAATCAAACTAAAATAAACTATTTTAGTTCAATTAGAAAAATATATATTGCTAATCACATCGCATTCACTGATTCGCAGGACAGTGCGTCAACAGATTCCTCTAGAGGCACACCAAACTCCATTGAAAGATGGGACAGACCTTGGATTGATTCGGTTAGCTGTGTGTCACAATCTAATGTCTCCGCTGAAGCTTTGAGACGGCTTCAAAACCCTTCTGAGACCTGCCAAGAAGAACAAGATCAAGTGCTCGGCTCAGAGTCGCTTCCTATCTGTCCTTCAGACAACCCTGTGGGTTTAGCTATACCTCAACATTTCCTCACCATGAAGAGTTCCAGCTGGTCAACTGGACAATCCTTCTCAGACTCCACTGGAGGGCAGTGTTGTGACTCTGTAGCATGGAAAAAAGGCTTGATGGTAAATCTGGAGGATGATGGGAACAGTTCTGAGGTTTCAAAGGCCGTTTATGCGATGTCAATGCTGGATTCAGACGAGGAGGATGCATACAGCTACATCTTAGAGCTGGACAATAAAGAAGCTGGAATGGTGTCAAATGTCAACTTTGAATTCATTACAGTTATGGATGCTCAGGGAACAGAGTTTGATATAAATGTTGTCAGTACACTTGAATCTCAAGGAAGTGAAAGAAACGCATTGTGTAATTTGTGTGATGCACAGAGTCAATTAAAACCCACGAATGCACTGATGTCATGTGATAGCAAAGGTACAGATGAAAGCACACTGAGACAGGTCAAGGACATCAATGTGTCCCAAAGGGACCGTGACTCTCTGTCGATGAATCAAACTGGTATAGACAACACATACAAGACTGCCAGATCATCTGCTGATGAACGTTTGGACTTGGACTGTTCATTCAAAATGAAGGAGAGTATTTACTCGGATGTATTTACTCTGACTTGCAGTGATGGTGTTGATCATGTGCAAGTGGACAATGATCTTAATAAGGAGAAAATTAGAGAGGACCTTTTTCTTTGCGAATTGCATGATAGTCTATCAGAAAATGACCAATATGAGCAAAACCGTTTTTTAGATCAAAGTGTTTTGGATAGAATAACCGAAGAACCTGCAGTTTCACATTTGAGGTTAGGATTTTTTTTTTTTTTTTTTTTTTTTTTTTTTACGTACATTTGATTACCTGCTCATTGGAAATGCGTGCCTCTACCTATACATTTTTGCAAAACTCCCAAAACGTACCTATACAAACAATTCACTGCAGATTTACATTAATCTGTTTTGGATAAAAACTGAACATGTTTTTAATGGCACTCACTAGACATTTCACTTTGAAACATGCAATAAGCGTAATATCATTCTGCAGAAATGTTGCCACAGGTACGTTTTTTCCAATGAGCCTGTTTGCTTTGAAAATAACCAATAACCGCCTGTTTCTGTGTTTTAGGAACGGGGGTCGTGACCGAACTAGTTATGAGATGGAAGAGCTACATGTGCTTCTGTTCCTCTGGGTGATCGCCTACTGCTGTCTTATATATCCTCACCTGGACTTCTTCAGTCGATTAAGTAAAAACTAGCAATGCTAGAGCAATATACTAATAAGGACAGTTGAACAAAGTGCAATACTGTGCGTCCACACACGCAAACTCAGTTTATCTCCTTCTCACTGTTTGTAAGTCGATCACAAGTGGGTTTTAGATCACATACAGGATTTACAGTTAAAGAGTTACAGACTTATAGTAGACTATGTGGATTGTCAGTATCACATTGCGAGAGCATGTCAAAGGTCTTAAAGGTCCCCTGACGTGGGGTTATTTTATTTTTTTATAATGTTTCCTGGGTTGCCCTTATAATGTTAGTATGTTTTTTAGATCAAAAATAGTCATAATTTAGAAATAAAAGGCATTTTTCCTAGCCTGATTTTAGCCTCTGATTTGAACGCTCTGTTTGAAGGGGCGTGTCTGTTGTGGGATTCAGTGTTAACCGGCCACTGCTGTGATTGGCTGACATGCTTGCATATGAAATAGCTACATATTACATGTGAAACTCTCTCGAATACTTTTACTACAGCTATTATACGTTTTTAATATTGCAGCTATCGAGATTAACGAATCGTGAGAAGTTTTTAGATCTATTCCCATCACATAAAATGTTGCCTTGATGAGCATTGAGCAAGCAGATGACAGTCTGTTGATCGCGAGCATGAAGATCTTATCATTGCAACGCAGTTTCTGCACTCTCTCTAATGCTTTCACCAATGCAAACACGATGATACAGTAAGAGCTTCGTTGTGCAGTGTAACGTGCATCATTGATTTCATAACGAGATGTCAGATAAACTCGCGCTGTGTGGAAAGATTGTTCTTTTGACCGCTTTCTGTATAATTTGTTCACAGATTAAATACCATTATTTTCATCCTACTAAAAGAAACGATGTGAAGTTGATATTTTAGTCACTGGCTTGACTTATGCATAAACCGTATTGAACGATTTTGAGAGAAAGATTACCTGTCTGAACTTGAACAATTAGGCTTCACATCAGAAATTGTTGCTTGGTAGCGCGATCGATTTATTTTCAGACGTTCATCGAGGCCAGCTCTGTATTGGCCTAAGTTGAGGAAACAGTCGTCGGTGAAATGTTTGGACCATACAAAACTTTGGGAAGTTGTGTCGGCGCATTTCCAGAGAAAATACAATACAATTAATCCATTGTTTCTTCAAAGGCTCGGATGAAGGAACTAAAAAATACCTTTGTGTTCATTTGTACATCCGAACACTAGTGATGTATGTCTCGAGACCGGTCTTGGTCTCGAGACCACTTTTACGTGGTCTCGGTCTTGTCACGGCCTTGACGGTCTTTGGTCTCGGTCTTGTCTTGGTCTCGGACCTCTCGGTCTTGTCTAGGTCTCGCTGTCTCAGACCGACATAGTGGTCAGGGGATTGAGCAATACAATACTACAATATCCACGACGATATCCGCAACGTATTGAAGCGCGCGTCCGGGTGAAGACAGTGCGGTGCGCGCGAGCCACGCGAGAAAACACTGTATCCGCGCCACTGATCGCAGCGGCAACGAGCACTTTGATCACTTGATTTAAAAAACACATATCATGTACAGTTTTTGATATATTAATATTTAGTAAAACACATATCAGTGACATGATGGGTTTTACCATCATTCAGGAGATTTTGGGTAACTGCACAACTGACAGATGACTTTGAGCGCACCGCCAACGGTGTGTGTGTGTGTGTGTGTGTGTGTGTGTGTGTGTAACCATAGCGACAAAAACGACCAACTTTCGGATCCTGCACTTAAGCCTATAATTTCGTTTTTGAATATAATTATGTATTTAAAAGTTGCAGAATGGATTCATTTGGAGACTTCGAAATCAGCAGAGATAGGCAGGCAAATGCAAAACAACATTTGACAAGTTATTGCTTAGCTTCAACACTAATGTTTTTTTCCCCTCCGGTCTCGACTTGGTCTCGGTCTTGGTCTCGACTTGGTCTTGGTCTCGACTTGGTCTGTCTTGGTCTTGGTCTTGGTCTTGTCTTGGTCTCGATACCATCTGGTCTTGGTAGTGTCTTGGTCTCGGTTTAGGCGGTCTCGACTACAAGTCTACCGAACACTGATCAACTGCCATGCTTCGCTCGTTTGCAAGCCATGATATCTCTCGAGGAAAAACTCAAATCGCGCTCGCGCGTTCGTACTTCCTAGCTCATTTTCTCATGAGCGAGCCAAATTCTCTGGGCGGGCAAAGCAGAGAAAGGGGAGGTAACCTTTCCTCCGTATGATGTCATAAGGAGGAGATTTAAGATCAGCGCGTCTGAGCTGCAGTAGAGAAGAGAAAAATAGCCAAAGCTCGGTTTACACCGATTGAAATGTATAGCCACTGGGGGACCATATATAGGCTAGGGGAACTCATATTAATGTTAAAAAAAATGTCAGGGGACCTTTAAAGAGTGTTTAAACTTTCAACAAAAAGTCATAATTTAGTTTTGCATGACTTTTAGAAATAGAGTGCTTAAGGGATGGCGTTATTTTGCAGGCCAGCCCAGAAGTTAGTATCACATTGGTTCCCTTAACAAAAAGCCAATAGAATTTTTACCACTGGCTTTTGGATTATTGCAGAAAATAACTTGTTTTTGAGTTTTAAACTCATTCCTGCAGCACTATAAATATTGCCTTTTTGCTGCTGTACCTTTGTATATCTACATAACTGTCTTTCTATGTGACATGAGCAACAAGTTTCAGTGTTATTTATTTTCAACTCTTTACCCACCAGATTTTTTTTTTAAAGTTGCCAGCCTTTGATAAAAAAAATAAAATAAAAACAATTCTGTCAATTGTGGGGAAAGAGTTAATATAATTTTTCTTTTTTTCTCCTTTTGTTTTTGTTTATGTGAAATTGGTTCCATGATATTTTTTGATGAATATGTGAATGTTAATCTGACATCTATAATATTGTACAAAATTGAAAAGCATTAAAAAATAAAATGATTCAAATATTTATTTTGACAGAAGATAGTAATGTCAGGTAGTGGCAAGAGTTTGTTTAGCTTCATTCTATCATTTGACAGTTGAATGCTTCATTATTGAAGCTAAATTTTATGGAGGCCCCACTTAATAATCTCATTAGAACAGTGGAAATATTTAACACTTTATCAGATGTATACACATTGCAATTTATAACAAATGTTTACATGCACCAATAAAGTGATTTTCAGTTCGTCCCAGCAATAAAACCGTTATATGTGTGTGTGTGTGGATCTGGAGAAGATAAAACAGGCCAAACTGTTCAAATATGTACGACTAAGCGTGGGCTGGATGAGATTTGTGCCCTCTCTACAGAGAGCCAACAACTTCTGAGAATGTGTTTGTTTACTGTCAAGGTCAGGGCCGCTAATCAATGTCAATATTTCAACATTTCCCTTGGAAAACGATCCAAAGAGGAGTTTGGACAGTTACGCGTACCCCCAACTGTGGTTTTTGTGCAGCAGTGAGTTATCAAGAGATGTGTAAAGCTGCTAATTCTCACTTCTCCAGGGGAATTGGACAAGCCTGAGAGATGCAGGCGCTAAATGGTGTTGGAAGCTACTATTGATGCCCTAGTGCTCTAGAATAACCTTGTCTTTGGTTTGTTTGCTGCTTATAGCAGGGATAAGCAGAGGGAAAATCATTGTTTCTCCTCAGTTGGACTGTCCTTTGCCCTTGTGAAGATATGGAGAATCTCACATGACCTGATCTCAATAAGGTTTGATGAATGGGCTTCTCAACTTCACAGAGGCCTCTGTGGAGGTCACTTATTCCTGGTCATCCATAACCTAAAGAAGACACTTACAGCTCTTACTCAGTATTATGATAGTCAGAATTTACAACAAGATTTAAATGTGGCTCTAGATTAAAATATATAAATTAATTCATCGAAATATAGCAGTCACTATTTTATATTGTTTGTTATACAGTGCATTTAAAGTATTCAGACCACTTATTAGTATTACATCAATAAACATTACATACCCCATAATGACAAAGAAAACATATATTCGTGATAATGTGCATTTTAAAGAAACAACAACAACAACACTTCAGTCCATTTGGTGGCGGCAAATCAACAAAAGCTCCTTTGCCAACTGCCAGTATAACATTGAAAGAAGAAGATAAATAGATTTTGTAGATTTTAAAAAATTTACATTAAATTCAAGTCAAATCACCTTCTGGTCATAAAGCGCTTTTAACAGACTGGATTGTTTCAAAGCAGCTTTACAGTTATAATAGAAGTAACCGTAACAGATTGTTTAGGCTTTACAACAACATTAGGAGAAAAGCTATTGTCCAGCTGAAGTTAGTTTTGATTGATTCACTTCCATTGCTGAGATCAAAGATTAAATAAATGTTATGATATAAATTGAATGATCTCTATTTTCAGGTCAATGATCAAACAAGGATATTGGCAACACATCAATTGGGTCAATTGGTCACACATCTTTGCTTCCATTGAAACACAATATGCTCTTTTGATCATTCTCAAATCATGCTGTATCATCTGCATGATTATTAAGTTTTAAACAAACTTGTGGAGTTAGTTTGGGAGTTTGTAGCCTGAGTGTATAGAAGCCCAACATTATTATTTTTGTCTTGTTTTATGATCAAAATATTTAATTGATAGATGCAATGGTTGAATTAAATGGTTTGCGGTGGTTTGAGTGACAGAGTGTTTTTCACACAAGAAAAGTTATGAGAACAAGAACAATCAGTCTACAGCCTCTGTACAAGTGCAGCTGCCATAAAAGCAAATGGATACATATCAAATACTAGGAAATACAGAAATTCTTGTTTTTGACTCTCATTCAATGTGTTATGATGATAATGTAATTTATAATGAAAAAAAAACTTTCTCACACCAGTCTCAGGCTTTTGGACCACACTGAATTATTCAATCTGATCCAGTTCAGAAGAAGCTGTCTTAAGCCAGACATTCTGTTTGTGGCCAATTGCAGCTCTGTAAACACCAAGCTCAAGAAGCTTCATTCTGAATTCAACTGTTGTAAACATGCCAATAAAATGGAGAGAAAGTGACATTCCACACTGTCTAAGACATTGATTTTCTTTCCCCCTTTGACAGGTTTGCAGAGATCCGACTTCCAAAGTTTGCTTTGGAAAAAAAAACTTATACTTCAGAGACCCTTGAGAAGCATGGTGTTCACTCAATGTGAATCAGCCAATTGTACACAGCCATCAAAGGTGAACGATCTGGTGTTGACTCTTGTGAGTGTATTCATTTTAAGCACCCTCCTATCAGAGTACAGTATATCACTGGTTGATTGATTGTGTCACTCTCTGCAAGCTCTGTATGTAGTGAACTGATTATGGATGAAAGCCCAATAAAAAGAGCGTATAATAATAATAATAACAATGTATGAATAAACCATTACTGAGTCGTGTTATAGGAACCTTTTTCCCCCCAAAATAAACAGAACATGCAAATACATAAAATGTTTAATTGCAGCGTAAACAGTAAATAACGTATTTTTAATTTTTTTAATTTGTTTAAAACCTAAATAAGAGAAACTACTTATTATGGACAGCTAATTGTAGAGCTGTGCTTCAATTGACCATCACAGAAAAAAAAAAGGCATAAGATATCACAGTATTCTGAGAGGAAGGCAGTCATATCAATCTTACTTTGCTGATTGACTACTTTTTAAATCTAAATCCCATCAACACATTTTAAGTAGGTACTGAAAACCCCTGACACAGAAGTCTAAAACTGTGTTGCATCACTAAATACAGAGCAACAGCTAATCATGAGTGATTGCGTCCACAGAACGGGGGTGGAAACAGGTTAATGTTTGAAAATGTTACTCGGCTGATGCTTGAAGGACTATAAATTGACTCCACTCCATCTGAACAGTCTCCTGTGAAGAGGACTTTGATGGTAAGTTACAACTGGTTTGCTTAAAGTGCTATGATTTTACCAGAATTTTAAATAGCTACTCTTTGGAATTTTCGTAAAAAAAATGTAATGTAAAAATCACAAAGTTTGTACAATGCTGTGCCCTCTGTTCATAAAACAAGTGGATACAATGTGGGGAAAGATTTATTGCTGTGCGATTGCTGCCCTGCTGGTAGTAACGGCCTGGGCTGCACCCCACGAAGGTCACGACCATGGGGGCCACACACCCGATCACCACCACCATCTCCACCATGGGAAGGATGAACCCCACCCCAGCCACGAGGGGTCCAGCGATGCCTGCCACCTGCTTTCTCCCCACAACGCTGACTTCGCCTTCTCTCTCTACAAGAAACTTGCATTCCATCCTGATGCCCAGGGCAAGAACATTTTCTTCTCCCCGGTCGGGATCTCAATGGCTTTGAGCATGCTGGCTCTAGGTGCCAAGGGCAGCACTCATTCACAGATATACAGCAGTCTGGGTTATGGTGGGTTGAAGCCTGAGCAGGTCGATGAGGGTTATGAGCACTTGCTCCACATGCTGGGCCACAGCCAGGACGCCATGCAGCTGGAGGCAGGAGCTGGTGTGGCCATCAGAGAAGGCTTCAAGGTGGTGGACAAGTTCCTGAAGGATGCCCAGCACTACTACAAGAGTGAAGCCTTTAGCGTTGACTTCTCCAAGCCTGAAATTGCTGAAGAGGAGATTAACAAGTTCATCGCCAAAAAAACCCATGACAAGATAACCAGCATGGTGAAGGGTCTGGACTCAGATACGGCGATGATGCTGATTACCTATATGTACTTCAGAGGTACTAAATAAACTTCTTTCGTTCAGAGATATTCCTGTAATAATCATTTATTTGATCTTTGAAAAGTCTTGGTTGAGGCTGACCTGAAGTTCTTGCAATTTGTCTTGATAGGCAAATGGGACAAGCCATTTGATGCAACACTGACCCACAAAGCTGACTTCAAAGTGGACAAGGACACCACCGTGCAAGTTGACATGATGAAAAGAACCGGCCGCTATGACATTTATCAAGACCCTATCAACCAAACTACGGTCATGATGGTGCCTTACAAAGGCAATACTTCCATGATGATCGTTCTTCCTGAGGATGGGAAGATGAAGGAGATGGAAGAATCCATCTGCAGACACCATATTAAGAGCTGGCACGAAAAACTCTTCAGAAGGTAATACCATCGATACATCCAGATTTAAATTCATGTACTAGTTGACTTCTGACCTGAAGGTTGATGGTTGTTTAGTTACACAAGATATTTGGGAACTTGCCATAGTAGCTGATATACCATATTTTACATTTATCCCCTTCAGTTCTGTGGACCTGTTTATGCCCAAATTCTCCATCTCTGCAACTTCCAAACTGGACGACATTCTGAAGGAGATGGGAATAACTGATGCATTCGGTGACGCAGCAGATTTATCCGGGATCACAGAAGAAGTCAAAGTCAAGGTGTCACAGGTATGTGTGGACTTATTTTTACCTTTTGAAGCACCACCAATGGTTGATAGACCTAAAGAATTTGAAAACTCTTGAGAGTCATGTTCACATTTTGAACCCAATCTCCAGGTTGTCCATCAGGCAGTCCTCAGCGTGGACGAGAAGGGCACAGAGGCAGCAGCTGCAACCACAATAGAAATAATGCCCATGTCCCTACCAGACACCGTGGTGCTCAGCCGACCTTTCCTTGTTCTGATTGTAGAGGACAGCACCAAGAGCATCCTCTTCATGGGCAAGATCACCGATCCTACTGTGTGAGATCTTACTCCACCCATAACTTGCCAGCCCTCTGCGTAAGGCTGCTAATCTTTGTGTAGATCTTATTGTAAACTGCAATAAATGTTGATTTGATTGTAATCAAGTGTGTCATCAGCACTTTATTTCACAATAAATTTCTGTTTCGCATGTACATACAACTTATTGTACTTTACATACCCCTAAACCTAACCTTAACCCATTACCTTACACTAATCAGTACTTTCATGGGTAAGTACACTGTAAAGTGCACGTACTTTAAAATAAAGAGCAACCAAAACCATAATACATGCATTTCTCAATACTGGTCTCAACATAATGCTGTCTGGAAAAAAACTGCAATTTTGAGCTTATTAAATTCTTATTATTTTAAATGTATTTTTTACTTTTTTTATTATTATTATTATTATTATTTACATACATTTAACGTAATGTAGCAGGTAATTTAACACAAATGGATTTACAGTAGAATCAAACTCATCAAAGCAAATTTGGCTAAATGTATCAGTGGTGGTAGTAATTACAAGCCATGTTTTGGGTTGCACAACAGAGGGAAGGATGAGATAACCTATGGTTCATTCCCCTCACCTCTCTGACCTTTAACCTTTTGATAGAGCTTCTGCTCCAGTACAGTGAGTTCAATCAATACCTTGTCCTCCATAAATCCAACACAGCAGGCTCAGGCATGTCTGTCTCTTCTACAAGATCAAGAGTGCAAATAAATTAAAATGAAATGAAAGCTTTATTGTATGTAGTATGCAGTCAGGAAATAGATCATTTCAGAGTAATACTCATCCAAGATAAATCTGGCAAATACTCTGGCAGTACCTCACGTGTTTCTGCTCAAGCCTGATGCGATCATTTGGTTGTGACTTTTTTGAGGGCTGACTAATGAGTGGTAAGTATATAGGGGTGGGCAATATGACCAAAATCTTATATCACGATATGAGTAATTTTATTTCATGATAATATATGATGGTATCATGATAATTACACACACAAACAAACACACACACACACACACACACACACACACACACACACACACACACACACACACACACACACACACACACACAAAACACAAGAAAAATACAATAAAACAACGATACAAATGAAATCGACCTACCTGAAAACTTCAAGCACTAGACAAGCGAAATAGGTTACCACATAAATTGTATAAAGTAGTCCAATGTACCAAAAAACACTGCATAGTCTTCTTCGCTGTTTAAATTAAGTATATATTGATTCTCATTAAAGTTGCAAACGTGATTCAGTCAAGAGCAATGGGATCGTTTGATTAACATTAAATGGATAGTCCACCCCAAAAATGAAAATGCTGTTAATCTACTGACCCAGGCGATCCAAGATATAGATGTCTTTTTTTTCTTCAGTAGAAATGTAAAGAAGATTTTTAGAAGTGTAACTCTGTGCCATTTTGTACAAAATAAAAGTTTTTCTAAACAAAATTCCTTGTTTTTTTTAAACACAATTCCTGGTGAAACATTAAAGTAGACTAGTATCAACAGTGCACTTTTTTTTTTTTTTTTTTTTGTGAAAATTATTCACAAATAATGTGTTTTTTTTTACTCAAAAAATGAGATGCCCACTCTCAGATAAATGAGGCCTACGATTAATCAGATGCAAATATAAATATAAAACCAGTCCTAATTGAAAGAGAACAAGTTGACAAAAAGATTGAATCCAACATTGGGTGATAATATAGCATAGCAAGTGATTTATAAGCTATTTTTTGTAGGCCTGTCATTTTTGACCGGTAACACCAGAAGTGTGATTATGTGCCATATTGTACAAAAAAAAAAAGGTTTTCAAAAAAAAAAAAACTTCCTGGTGAAAAATAAAAGCAGACTAGTGTAATCAACAGTTGCCAATTTTCTTCATATTTTATTTAATATTTCAAAAATATTATTTATATTATTTATATTATTTTTTCAAAATTATTCAAAAATATATATATTTTTCTCAAAATATGAGATGCCCACTCTCAGATAAATGAGGCCTACAATTAATCAGATGCAAATAGAAATGTAAAACCAGTCATAATTGACAAGTTGACAAAAAGATGAAATCCAGTATTGGGTGCTGGTGTAATATAGCCTGGCATTCGTAAACCACGCCTCAAATACGAGAAAATTAACATGTTCATTTTCTCGTATTTGAGGCGTGGTTTACGAATGCCCAGAGCCGTTTATTGGGTGCTACGAATGTTTATCAAATGTGCCTGTACGTAGCTCATAGCCAATCGTTTCAATTATACCAGATGACGTATGTAGAGCGAATGAAATTAGACGAGGAAGAAGACGATGGGTCAGAGATTTATTTGCGTTCTAAACTACTTAGAACAATATCCAAGGCTGCATCGAAAGGTAACTTCGCGTCTGCTGCCATGTTTGATCCAGGTATAAACAAACTGCTTCGGTGTGTCGCATAGACGTCGTCATCGTCTTGATGTTCCCTCCCCGTTCTGTGATTGGTCCCCTCGCTGAGGCGAAAATTTGGTCCATGGTATCCAGACTGCCTAGCAGCGTGAAAAAAATCATGCTGCGCAAAGGCAGTATGGGGAAACCCAGGCTAAGTGTAATATAGCATAACAAGTGATTTATAAGGTATTTTTTGTAGGCCTGTTATTTTTGACCGGGAACACCACAAGTGTAACAAGGTGGCAACCATTGTTTGTTGATTAGCTGAATACTTTTGTGGATACTTACCTGTTGTGTTTGATTGTACCTGTTGAGGAGAAAAAAGTGAGAAATTATGACATTGTTTGCATAGCTGTTGAAGAACTATGAAAGAAAAGTGTATATTATTTTAATGTTTAAAAACAGTAAATTGTTACATTATTTATACCACCAGAGAAAAAGCTTTGTGTGGGCTTTTTTTTACATATATATATTTTTTATATCTCCCCTTTTCAGGGCGCAAGTAAGCAAAAAGTCCTATCAGACCCATGTCACTATCAGGCTTACCACTGTATTTTTGTCTCACAGTATCATTAAGATGCAGAAAAGAAAGAGGCAGGAGACGCTTGACACCTTTTTCAAGAGAAATCCTGTAAGTGAAGTTGAAAGCTGAAAGTTGAAAAATGTTGCCATTAAACAACAGTAGCCTATTACCATTAGATATTGTTTGCATTTATTTCATGATATTACTTTTCAATATTCTCTGAGGTTTGCTAGTGCCACAGCTGTAACTGTTTGACCCTATTCCTTTACCACTGCACCCTTGTTTAGGAGAGGAAGTTGCTGGAGGCATCAGTTTCAGAGAGATCACAGGAAGGTTCACAGGTGAGCAATGGAATGAATGTTACAGTTTGTGAAAGAGGTCTATGAAGGAAGAGAGGCCATGTGTGTGTGTGTTTGTGTCATGGGTGGTGCTTATTTCCATCCCAGGTGCACGCGTGTATCTGGTGTGTTGATATCAAATTCACAATTTCATTTCAAACGTTTTGATTAGGGTGTATGTGAGGATGTGGCCAGGAGTGAGGAAGACATAGATGAAGAGGGAGGAAAAGGCAGACACGAAGCGGGCAGACAAGAAGCAGACAGACAAGAAGCAGCCAGACATGAAGCAGGCAGACCAGAAGGCAGACCAGAAGGCAGACCAGAAGCAGACAGACAAGAAGCAGGAAGACAAGAAGAACAGAGAGAGGGAGAGGTCAGAGTGGAGAGGAAATGGTAGAGAGAGGAGCAGAGAACTCAGACGTGGCTGTTACTCGCCATCAGTTCAGTAAGCCCAATCAACCAGATCCAAAATGAATTGCTAAACAGTCCTTGCCCAAATATACTCTGAATTTTCAAACTCAGTGGTACCAGAAATTTCCATGGCTCCATGTGAGTCCTGGTGTTGAGGGTGTATTGTGCTTTTACTGCTCCAAAGCCTTTAACTCTGAGACATCACCTCTTGCCAAGAATGCTGATTCAGCATTCATTTCACCTGGGTTTAAAAATTGGAAAAAAGCCCTTGAGCGATTTACTGTGCATGAGATATCTGATGAGACAGCCATGACAACGCACATCTATGAAGATCAGAATCATTGGTGCTCAAAATCATTGGTGCTGTTGGCTAGGCAGGGCTTACCTTTTAGGGGCCATGAATGTGGTGAGGGAAATTTTGAACAGGTTCTGAAGTACAAATCAGAGGATGACCCCTCTCTAACCAAGTGGTTGGCAGGTGGTAGAAAGGATGTATACTTCAGCTATGGTTGAAAATGAAATCCTGACTTTGTTCAGCAGCGTTATCATACGTGAAATAGTTGAAAACATCAGATCACTTCCACACCTGCAGTACTCTGTGATGATGTATGGGACATGAGAAGTGTCTGGAAAAGAGCAAGAGGCAGTGTTGACATGGATTGAATCCCTCGTGAATAATTTATTGGTCTTTATGAGGTTTCTTTGACAACAGGAGAAAATCTAGCAAAAGTAGTGGATGTTTTGCAGTGCCTAAACTTGCCTATCACTGGGTTGCATGGCCAAGCATACGATGGGGCCACAAATATGGCTGGCAAATACAATGGAGCACAGGCCATTGTAAGAAAAATACAACCTCTGGCTCCCTATGTTCATTGTGCTGCCCACTGTGTTAACCTAATTACAGAGAGGTCCTGTACTGCCTCAATATGTATCCGGAATTCTCTGGATTGGGTCAATGAGTTGGGAGTGTTGTTTGGGCAGTCAGGGAAACTGAAGGACATATTTAAATGAATTGCAAGGTCTGAGGAGGATGAGGGTCCATGTCACACTATAAGACCTCTGTGTCCAACAAGGTGGACGGTCCGCACTGTGCTAAACCAGTACGAGTGCATAATCAAGGCTTTGGCTGAGATGGCAGTGAGTGAGTCTGATGCGGCTAGTAAGGCACAGGGGCTGTATGAGACATTTCAGCAGGAAAACGTTGTCCTTGGTCTTGTGTGTGCTTTGGAGATCACAGGGGAGTTGGAGGTTTTGAATATGTCCCTCCAGAGCAGAACACAGACCCTAGATCAGGGATGGGCAACTTTGATGATAGTGAGGGCCACAAATATTTTATCGTCGCTATCAGAGGGCCAAATGTGACCGTGCACTTCCACCAATGGGATATTG